AGGGCGGCAACTGCCACCCTTAAAATGAGCTTTGCCACCCTAGTTGCCACCCCAAAGCAGCGTATGGGATCGAAGTGCATTGAGAGCGGAGCAGCGTGATTTTAACTGAAGCGGGGATCTTTTGAAAGTCGGAGAATTCTGGTTTTCGCTCGCTCTCAGAGTGCTCCACTACCGCTAAATAACAAACACAATTAATGCTGTAACTATAGCCGTTCTAAACTAGTTCTGCCTAGTCACCTTTATTTACATAGCGCTTTTAACAATACAGATTGTGTCAAAGCCACATTACAGTATTAAATAGGAAAATAGTGTCAATAATGCAAAATGACAATAGTAAACACTCAATTTTCAGTTAAAGGCAGTTCATCATTGAATTCAGTGATGTCGACATCCAGCTCAGTTCAGTTTTAATAGTATCTGTGCAATCAAGTCAACGATATCGCTGGATATTAAGTGTCCCCAACTAAGCAAGCCAGAGGCGACAGCGGCAAGAAACCAAAACTCCATCGGTGACAGAAGCCCTGTAGAAGTCCATTCCTCTGGTGGAGTGGGCCCTCACACCTAGGCCTGAGGCGTAAGCCAAGGCTATAGCATCCACTATCCAGTGAGACAGTCTCTGCTTCGTAACCGGCAGCCCTTTAGAACGGACTCCGAAGCACACAAAGAGCTACTCTGAATGTCTAAACAGGCCAGAGCGCTCAACATACACTCTAAGAGCCCATTGGGGAGCGCTAGAAGGGTGATGACTTGTACTCTAAATGGTGTGGAGAGCACTTTCGGCACATAGCTGTGTCTCGGTTTGAGGACGACTCTACAGTCGTTAGGCCCACAGAAAATTTACTCACGATTGCTGTCCTGCGGCAAAACACGAGGGCAATTGCGTTTTAGATCAATTCGGAGTGAGCGCGCCGTGGGCGTGTCAGTAAATGGTGAAATATTTCCTTAAATGAATTGGTCCTGCCAGAAGAATTGCGTGAAATGTATTATGTCTGTTCCGTCTGTATCATCTCAGTGAGGTTTTATACATGCACAGTAAGGCGAATGTAACGCTTTCAGACATTTCAGTGTGGATGTTAAAC